TACAAAGCAACCGACATTTACTAAAACCAAAGCAAGTCATGGACACTTTCAACATGTTCCCCCTTTATTAAGGTCCCGCGTTTTCGAACCTATACACACCTATATTTCTCTTTAAGCTCTCGCACCTTCCTACAACTACAATCTAGTAGCTATAATGCCATTCCCCATATATATTCTATTTCTGAGGCAACAACAATGCAAAGCGATAAAACACTACAAAAGTCTTCTACAACAGTCATAGTGTCACCAGCAAGCCGTTCCTATCTATATAGTTTCATTTTCAGGCATAGCCTATTTCTAAATCCCTAAACAACCGCTTCAATGACACTAAAAGCACTCTAGGTGCAGAGCAACATGAGCAAACCAGTAATGCTACTTGGCACAAGCTCTCTTGAACACTTTGCTATCAGCACAAAGGTTCAGCTCACAAAATATACCGAGTTGCAGCTTATGCGGCAACTCACTTGCGGAGTGAATATGATCAGCTTCAACACAAGCAAAAAGCATCGGCGAGCTACACCGCACCTTGTGACAGTTCAATACTGCTATACACTGGCAACAATATCGAGTGAGAGAATTAGCAGAACACAAAACATTACTTAAGTTTGATGGCCCGTTGCGCTGCCGGCAATGGCAAATGATATAGTGTCGATGTTTTGTTTTTTCTGCATGGAAATATCGCCAGAATATAGTCATAATCAGTGAATTTTATAACTACTTTTAAGATCACCTGAACCGTTTTATTAACTGCAAGGTAGGGTTCATTCATAACCTTCACACTTTTACTAGGCTTAATGATTTATCAAATGCAACATGAAGTCGTATTTCTCGTGAAATATTAACTAGGCAACTAAAATATGAATGGCAGTTTATTTGATCAGAAAAAAAATTTTTATGTGCAAGAGATTGGCCTTCAATCTGTGTTCTCATCTATATATATAAACTTGTTTCATAACATTTTTAAAATTTTTTTAGAAAAAAGTTAAAACTGAAGGTCTTTAGTAACTGATGCAAAACAATTATATAGAGAGGAAAGTTGCCAGGGCTGTTTGTGCCATGTTCATTTCGACATTGGCTCTCGCCCTCGTAAATATGCAAACCGAGATGTGCACCACTTTGCCCAACAATATGTCCCACACGTCTACAGCATGGCAGTTCCAATAAATTGAGGAACTATTTTTCAGAGCACAGTAATTGCAGGGTCAATCAGACACATTCCTGGGAATGCCACAGAATGACAACTTTCATCTATACTGTACAACTTAACTAGAAAAAATATCAGCTTTGTACAATTGAAAATATTTTACCGATGGTAAGCATGAGCGTATTTGTTCTCTTAACAGCTCATGTATATTGAAAAACAATTTAGGCTTTCATTGGAGCTTGATATTAAAGTTTGTCTTGGTGCTCTTCTTTCAGTGTTGTTTTTTATTCTCCTGCACAAAGTATAATCAATATTACTTTGCTCATTTCCACATACAGTGCTTAAAAATAGTGCTGTCAGTCAGCGTGAACTTTCGGCGGCATCTGTAACTTGCCAACTAAGTCCTTTGCTCTGAAAGCCTAAATTATCATTTACTCTTCAAAACAACCTGAAATAAAGGCCGCTTATGCAGGTGGCATTCCACATAAAATTAATATTCCACGATGAAGGTGAATGTAATCTCACTAGTCAACGTTGCTATGCATCAGCACCGACTACTTTCTGCCAGGGCTGGCCCCAAGGCAGTAATACAGATCCAATAAATGTGAATTAATTTTAAAGATTTTCTTTTTTAGCTAGAAGTTTTAACATAAAATTTAAAAGATGCCTAAATAGAATGTAATACTTTTGACATAAAATAGCTTGTGCGGCTAAGAAGAACCGGATAACCTCAAGTGATCTTAAAAGAACAAATAAACAAAAACTTAACAAATCAACAATAGAATGCATGTCACATTCCCAACTGAGGTACGAAAGTTGAGCATTCACAGAGCATGCACTGGCAAAACCATATTCCTTTGCAATTCATATTTCCCTTCTGAAAACAAGAACACAAAATAGAGATGCAGATAATAAATGTTAACCAACACTTTGTCAATTCCAGAGTGTGTTAGCCTCTGGCCGTTCAACTGACTTTGCCACGTCTTATTTTTTTTCTACACGGTCAGTGGAATGGCACGTAAATGTAATTTGTGCGTGTTTTCATTTCTAACTTTTTAGCATGAATTGCAGTGAGACTAATCTGCAGTCATTTCGCATGCGTTCGTATTCTCGCGCTTTGCTCATTGTGCAGACGTCGTCTGCATTACATCGCGCTCCCACGTGACAGGCGATGCCACAGCTGGCACTGTGCCAAGAAACTGGACACCGGTCACCGCGGTATGAAACATTAAAGGGTTTCACCCTAACATGAACACTGCCACCACACTACAATGCTAAGAGAAACACCTCATTCATTCTCAACGTCGTGTTCAAGCAACCGTGCTTACAAAGAGAATGATGGCTGTAGTTCTATTACAATTATTTGCACCACGTTTGTACAATAATATACTAAATGTAGAATGCCATACCTTAAATGTCTCAATACTTTTGCCAAATAACCCACAGTTTATTACGGTGCTTTACATTTGAAGAAAAGCTATTTGAACGTGCTTTGAAGCAAGCCTTTAGCCAAGAAAAACAACACTAGCCCCCCCCCCCCCCCCTGCATTGTATTGGCAAGAAGGGGCTCTTTTACGGAGGATAAATGATGAAAATATGTTTTTCAAAGCTGTCAGCAAGTGTCCCCCTCGCTGTCCACCTTCCTCTCATAAAATAAAAATTCCTAGTTACAGGCCTGCTTTGAAGAATCATTGCTAGGAAACCATCAGAAATAAGATAGTGTTGCTAGATTGCCATCTAGATCACACTCATGAGCTTCATCAAACACTTATAGCATAATGACAGGTCTTAAAACATTAGCTAACCTACACACAAGAATGGAATGTGCAAACTCTTCACGCTTCTTAGACAGTTGGGACGTAAGAACAAATAGAAAAGCTTGCATGCCTGCATAGCCTCTAGACATCACCTACCGTTATAGAGACTTGCCTACACCATCTAGGTCAGCTTGCAAACTGCGCCTTGGAGCACTGATTCATCACATCTACCACTGTATCGCATACTACTAACAGCTTTCAGAAGTCATGTTTCAGACGCCTGCACCCCATGTGTCAAACGGTGTTTCTGTTAACCTACGCTAGGTGGCACTGCAAGTGAGGACATGAAATAACCGAAGGCAGTACGGAATTTCATGTTGAAGAAGGTGACACATGCAAGCGTCCAAATACAAAAAGCGGCAATTAGACATTTATTTAACGGTTAAGACAGTGGCTAACATGAAACACAGCCGCAAAGATAGGAAGACTACCAATAATCTTCAGGTCAACCCTGCCCTTTGTCAACCCCGCTTGCTAGTCACACGGTGCGTGCGAAAGATCTCTCTGGACGGCCAATAGACAGTTCTACGTCATACAGGGCGTGGCAGTTAGGCAACCCTCACCTGCCTCTAAGCATTTGCTAACAAGATTGACCCAAGCAAGCTTTAGTGTCAGATGAGCATCTAGCATGTTCATGTGTTGCATCTTCACAGAATACTAAAATATAGCAATAGACATTCAAGCATAAAATTTTTTTTCTTATGCAAACAAGGAAGTTCAACATGTGCGTTGAAGTATGGCAGCCCTAGAACTTCAAAAGGTTCTACACATTTACACTGAAGCGTGCTAAATGCTTTTAACACATGAACATGTTTTATGATAATTACAGTATTGATAACTACATTCTTCTATTTCTAAACTTATGGAACGAACAACATTAAGATGTACACGTCTAATGAATACTGCTGTAGGAGATACTATTATGAAATTCAAATAATTAGAACATAAACTGTGTTTTTACTCAAATAGTGTTGGTAGCTACGAGCATGTCCCCTTTCGTTAAGAGAGAAAAGAACATTGTAAATGTTGACACGTTTACAAATCTAAATGAAAAGATGCTTCATTTTTTCGGCGCAAGAAAAAGCTAGGGCCTAAATCGCCTTTGCAACATTAAGTGGCCAAAAGAGTTGACTAGAAAAATTACTTTTGTGCCTTACTTTGAAGAAAGCATAGCAAACTCAAAGCATTATCAACAAAGATACGATGTAGATTGCCAGCTTCAACATCCGATAAAGAAATCACCAGCATATGCACTATTAACCATAACAAAAGCTAGGGCTCTCCCATTTTTTAAGTATTTTCATTTCATACATGCAAGAAAAAAAGTCACATTCATGCTAACCTTGTATTTATCATGTTGTAAGAATTACTGTCCCAATTCAGTTTTTAGGTGTTCTGTGACATTTGGTTATCAAACAGAAAGTAGTTAAATGAGGCAAGAGATCTACTGAGATATCATGGAACAGCAAATGAGACAAACCGTGCATAAAAACTATAAGACTACTGGCTCAATTTTGGTGCGAATTCTTTGCTCACAGTGCTTTAAACACTCCTAGAAAAATTTTGCTATACATCAAAGTAATCAAAGCTGTTCAGTCACTTTTGTGCCATGGATTAATACGTGCATGAGCATTTTCCCACAGAAAAACTAAAATAAAATATTGCCTGATAGTTTGCTTCACACTAAACTATCAAAGCAAGTGGTAAGCTCCTTGAAGGCATCTTTCCATTTCCTGTGTGGTTTTGATTTTGTCATTTACAATTAATTATGCTTTTCTTTAAAGTACTACTCAGTCTGACTTTTATGATAAATAGTCACAATTTTCTATCAGTAGATGTTCAAGATATCGCCTACACTGCTTCTTGTGGCCATTGTTTTTTAATGCACACCAATACATATAAAAAGCTATTTCAAATGGAACACTGCTGAACAAAATAAACATAAAATGTTCAACAAAGCATGTCATTTTGGCCCATATTTTTCGTACTCCAGATTTATTAAAGGATACTCTACTCACCATATTTGCACTATCTGTTTTCTACTCTGTGCAATACATATAAAAAGCTATTTCAAATAGAACACTGCTGAACAAAATAAACATAAAATGTTCAACAAAGCATGTCATTTTGGCCCATATTTTTCGTATTCCAGATTTATTAAAGGATACTCTACTCACCATATTTGCACTATCTGTTTTCTACTCTGTGCGAAGCATAAACAAAAATCAACTACATCTCTCAAAAAAAAAAGAAAAACATCAGAACACTTGAAACTTCAAGTCTTACTTCCAACATCACCGAGAGCTGTGTGTTTGAAATATTTCTGTTAATACTGTGCCATTAAAATAAATTATTAATAATAATAACTTGTCAGTATTAGAACTGCTTCCATTTGTGTACTCAAATATTTAATTCACTGCAATAATCAAAAGCTCCCAACCTTACATCAACTCACTGTGCGTTCATAGTACATCAAGACCACATAGTACCACAGTTCTCGTATTTGATTATCGAAGAAGCAGTGTGCAAAATGCTTAAGTGCAAAACCACCGCTTGTCTTGGCAACACAACAGATGTGTCTCTATTATCGTTCTTACACTCAAACAACGAAACGTCACCATGAATGGCTTGCAATGACTTTAAACGTTTCATCTCGAAAAGCAATGGTCTGTGAAAATCGGGAAAACAGTGCCAGCATAAAGAATATTGCGAATTAGTAGAAGCAAATAAGACGCACCAAGACAGCCAAAAACCTCAGCTGAATGTGAAGAGCGAATGCAGCGATACACAATTAATGGAATCGCATAAACAATAGCTAGCCCCCTCCCTACCCAGAAGCTCGCACCAGTCACCCATAACCGGCGTTGACAGGTCCTTCTGCTAGTGGACTCTCGGTTGATGCGAAAGTCGTTGCTGTGGGCCCTCAGCACAAATGTTACAAGCGTGGCTAAGCGTGCAATGTGAGGCAAAATCACTGCGTGTAACGGACCGCGCCGAAATTCAGTCGCATTTGTTCGAGAAAGATCCAAGTCAGGATCGTGTGGGGGCCCAGTCGCACAAACGCAGGGATGTAGCCCTGGAAGAAGCAAAAACGAAAGGGGAGTGTAGGGGACCGTCATAATTACACAAGAAGCGGTGAGAAAATGAAATGTTTTACACAGCAGGGCTCTGCCAATATGCATTGGTTTGTTACGATTTAGCTTTCTCAACAAATTTACTAAAAACAGGCTCAAAATGCAAGTTTCAACAACAGTACAAACAACGACAGAATATTATAGCTGTGCGGGAAGGCACTCAACTTCTAAAAGGTAGCGGTCCAGTCAAGTGTACACGACTGAAGGGATCAGCGAATGCCACAAAAATTGCGGTAAAATGAGTACTTATATATGCAAAGCATGAAATGGCATTGCCATGTATGTGTGTAACACAGTACCTCTATATGCTACCAAAAGCACAACATATAGAGAGGTATGTCCCACTCATGTTCAACAGCAAAGAAATTGACTGCGCATAGAGATATATATAGAAAGAAACTATTCTAAAGCCCTTCCCCCCCCCCCCCCCCCCGCTTCCAAGCAACCTCTGAAAATATAAAGAAGGAGCATGTTTGTCTCTGTTATTGTTTTCAGTCTTGCTGGCACAAAATTAATTTCACTTCAATTTGTGCATTCTAGACTGCTCACATGGAGAGAACAGCGTGTAGCTGAAATGCGGAAAGTTAGGCGAGGCTCAGTGCTTGCTTCTTATATTTCCACATGTTTTAGGAAGAACTAAGTGGCGAGAACTAAGTGGCGAGAACTAAGTGGCGAGAACTAAGTGGCGAGGAGGAGATAGAAACTGAAAGAGGGGTAGTGGAAGTGCCAAAGAAACCACTCTCCCGTCTGGTTTGGCGGCCTAAGGGGGAACACAGCTTTCGTTTTGTACAAAATGGCTAAAAAAATCGACTTTTTTTCTAAATCAGAATTCAGTTTCTACAGCCGTTCCTCTATCCTATGCCAAAATATCTTCACTAAAAACCGCCTATAAGTGCTGCTTTTTAAAGATTTGTTGCGTTTGTCAAAGTAGCTAGAATTATCGCGGAAATCGCGAAAAAATGCCGATTTTCAAGAAATTGTGGTTCTGCAAAGGCGCGACCAGGCGATGTTGCTTTAGTCTCATTGGGAAGAGCATTTCTATGATCAAATTTCGCGCCTCAGCTGGCTCCTCCATTAAAAGAAGATCTCTCTCCCCTCTTGAGGTATCAACCTGAGAATAATCACAGTTAAATTCACAGTTCCATCATCTTTTGAAAGTTCTCTAGGCCTGGAATAAGAAAACCAAGTGCACTATTCTAACATAGTGCCCTAACTTACAAACCAATGAACATAACTTCATGAAATTTTGTAGCAGTTCTAATGCTTTTGCAATGACCATATCCTGATAGTTTCATTGAAATATCTCTATAACCAAAAAAAGTTGATATCTTAGGGTAGCCTCCATGCATTGGAGTTTGTCCCCGAAGAGCACTGAGTTTCTAAAATTACAAAACACGTGCTTAATGGCTTCAAATGTTCTACAAACATAACACATACTTCATGCGGAAAATGAATGCTTTTTACTTGATCCAAGTGCAGTGCTCTGAGGCAATGCTTCCCCCACTTTCTTCATTGTTATGCTCTGAAGGCACTGAGCATGTTTCGCGTCAACAGCATCATGCGTATGCATTACTCCCACCTTCGGCACCCAACAGTATTTCACATCATTTGGCAACTCTATAAAGTGCTACTGATTTCAGTCTTGTTCACCCAGGAATCACGATTGCCACATGACTCAAGTTTACAACAAAGTTTCCTTTTCAGTACACCGCAACGACTTATGAGAAAACGCAGCATTTCCCAAAGCAAGCACAGATGATTAGGCACTACTTGAGCCCAGTGCTCTGTATGATCTATTGTTACGTACAATACAAACATCAAATGCCTTTTTTAAAGCTACAGTCATATTATGTACTGTTTTCATTGTATTAGAACCTAATTTTCCCCAGTTGTACAAAGCGAAAATCTCCTCCCTGTTCCCAGCATATTAGTAGTTTCATTGTGCTGATAGATGTATGAAATTCAGCTTTCACTAAATGAACGAGAAGTAGAAAACGACGACTGTCAGACATGTATTCCCCAAAGGAAAGAAACAATGCTGGTGCAAAACCGCATAAATTTAACTGTAACCGATCACTTCAGGTGCTCTCTATTTCTGTTCATATTTCAATATTTCTGTCACTGTTTCAACTCACCTTGAAGAATGCCATAATTCCGAACTTCTTCGTTTCTAGGGCACAGTGCAATATACTCTGCCAAGAGAAGGTGAGGAACAATCGCACACAAAAGACAAGTTTTGAGTTCCAGGCTGCTGTAAGTACAGGTTCGCTCTTAAAAACTTTTGCCACAGAAAACATCTTAATTGAGACCAAAGGCCACTATAGTGAGTAAAGCCATACTCAGTGAATGAAAAGAAAAAAAACATAGCATAAAAAATGAATAATTGGCATCAGACACTTTTTGCTTCACATGCAATACCATCATCATCATCATCATCAGCCTGACTACGTCCACTGCAGGACAAAGGCCTCTCCCATGTTCCGCCAGTCAACTCGGTCCTGTGCTTGCTGTTACCAATTTATACCACAAACTTCTTAATCTTATCTGCTCACCTAATCTTCTGTCTCCCCCCTAACCTGCTTGCTTTCTCTAGGAATCCAGTACTCGTTCGCTAACACCATGTCGGAAACTTGGCTGAGTGACCCCAGTGTCAGGAACCGCCGCCTACACAAATTGGACCCATCTAGAAAGCTTCAAGTTGCATCGGACCTCTCCCGCCAGGATGCAACTTTACTGTGCCGCCTGTGGTTAGGAGTACCTTTTACAAAGGCGTACTCCTTTCGCATAGGAATGGCGGATAACTCCCAATGTGAATCGTGTGACACTGACGAGACAATAGAACATCTACTGTGTTCATGTGAACGTTTTTCGAGCGATCGCAACTTGCTACGCGAAACGTTAGAGACCCTTGACAGTAGACCTTTCTCCGAAGAGAAGATCCTTGGTTCATGGCTGTACGCGTCGCAGGCCGGCAAAGCGACGCGAGCACTGCTAATTTTTCTAAGGACGACCGGACTACGCGACCGCTTATAAGCGTGCAATGGACAAGGTCACATCTACACACACGTTGCCCTTCACTTCTCTCTCTCTTCTCCTTTAATCCCCTCACCCCTTCCCCCAGTGCAGGGTAGCGAACCGGACGTGCGTCTGGTTGACCTCCCTGCCTTTCATTTCTTCCCTTCCTCCTCCTCCTAGGAATCCAGTTAGTTGGCCTAAATGACCAGCGATTATCCTGTCTATAGCCTACATGCCTCGCCCATGTCCATTTCCTCTTCTTGATTTCAACTATGATATCCTTAACCCCGGTTTGTTCCCTAATCTACTCAGCTCTCTCCTTTTCTCTTACGGTTACACCTACAACATGCAATATAGTAGCACATTTTAACAAATATCTGTCATCTTGGGACTATAAGTAGAGCACCGCGTTTGCAGATAAATCTGAAAAAATCTAATAGGCACTTGCTGGTAAAATTTTTTACAATAAGGGTTTATTGAATTAACTCAGATTTGAGCAGCCAATACGAACCTGCTGCGTCGCTTATCTATATATTATGATAATAATATATAATATATTATGTACATAATACATAATAACCATATATTATATTATGTACATAATACATATAACCATATATTATGACATCCTAATATATGGTTTCCTGGTGGCACTGAAGCACGCCAGGAGACTTTGAATATACGGAGCTCGTAAGATATGCTTGTGTCTAACAAAAACCTTTAAAATTATACATACTATGCATAAACGAAGGCATTTTGTAAATGAGTATTTGAGCATTCAAATTCTCCAGATGAACATGCCTTACGTGTTCTGATGCTTTCAGATTCAGATACCATTTTATCCAAGATATTGCAGTACTGAGAATAATGCAAAACCAAGCTCGAAATTCCAGATAATTGAGAATTGATGAAAAATAAACTCTGACAAATGCGGGATTTCCGTTAGAAAATAAACACAAAAAACAACCTCTAGATTTAAAGATAAATAAACTTCAAAAACACTTAGTGCTAAAAACCGAAATTTGCCCCTTCTAGGAGGTAAGTAAACAAGACTTAAGTTAAAAATTATGAAAACTGAATCGACTAAATCTAAAGCTATTACAGTCGAGCCCACATATGACGGCCCCACTTAGAACGAACTTTTGCTTAAAGCGAACAATATTCGCGTGACTGCCAAAATATACATTGGTTCTATGGCACAAAATCGCACTTACAACGAACGTCTCCTAGCGCCGCTGATCGGTTACAGCGAACGGAGTCAGCGGTATGCCGACTTCCTGGGAAACCAATTTCGACCACTAGATCAGGCATTGGCGAAGTGCCCATACATTCTTATTGTTAAACGCCGACCCTGCCTCTGTGACCCTCTAGTTGCCGCTCTCCCCAACCCATGGAGGAAGGAAAGCTGTTTTTTTCCTCCATGCCCCGACTGTTTTTTGTTACACATTCCTCCGTTCTTTGTCCCCCCCCCGCTACTCTGAGCACCCCGCATCGCCAGACGAGGCCCGTGTTTTCACATTGCCACCGATCTTTCAAAGACCGGTAGGCCATCTACCCTGTTTTTGATCGCTGGCACTGTCGTTGGCGTCGCCGGCCTGGAGTGACCAGACCATTTACCAACATCGTTGGCCACCGACTGTATTCGATATTCGGCGTCTAGTGCACGCACGAACGCTATCCCACCAACTCTGATAATTTGCGATTATTTCATGTTTAGGACTTGTTCTCACTCACTTCACCCTCGGCTCAGCATGCCTTCTGCACTCGTGCAGAAGCGCGAAATCGGCTGTTAATTTGTGTGGAACGAATCGCGAAATATCGAAGTTCGTGATGCCTCGCAAACCCGCCGGTGCAACAAAACGATTTTTGACCACGGCCGCCGATTCTTCGAACACCGCTGCGCGCACCAATCCAGGCGGCCATGCTTTGACTTTCCTGCGCGCGCAGGCACTCTTTCCAAGTTTTTCTACGTGCGAGTTTCGCGGACCTTTCAAGCTGGCTACCCAACGTGCCTCCTTCCCGTGTGTTTGGTTTCAAAGTTGCCCTCCCGCCGCATCCTCCCCCCTCTTTATCGCAACTCCTTGCCCTTCTCTCGCAAGTCTGCTCTCCTCTCTTGATCACAACCCCTTCGCCCGTCTCCACCGCTCCGCGACGCCCGCCACGCTGACTCGAATTAGTTTCGTTTTCTGACTGGAAACGGGCCCAGAGCTGTTCCACGCGTTCTGGCACGTGTGTCACGTGTGTCACGTGTGCGCGTCTTGCTCCCTCTTGGTGTGCGTGTGTGGTCATGGTGGCCGACGGGAGGACTAGCGCGCTTTTTTCTGCCGCTAAACAAAACGTGGAAAATGTGGTCACTTGGCTTGAGCGTAATCCGCGTATTAGGTGCAGCGTTGCGGAGCGCTTGCTCATAGCTAATGATTACCTGGCAGCCAACTAGCTGCTTCGGGCGTCTCGGTATTCAGCTGAGCATGGAGAGGGTGAATATTTCGTGGGCGGCGGTGATGGCTACATGCGCACGAAACTGTTTTCGCGAGGGGCCCGATGCCGAGCCTGAAGCTTCCGAACTGCGGCAGCGATTTGTGGCAGCGTGTCGTCGACTCTGACCTGGAAGAGAGGGTGGGCCATCTGTTGCAGTGGTTTAATTACGGCCGACGATAAGGTCCACACTGCGAAACCGCGCACGGATTGAAGAATTGTGAATGAAGTACGTGGCGAGAGCGATTTGGAGGAATCGGATTGCGAGAAACGACGAAACTTCGGAGTCAGTGCCTCATGCAACTTATGCCATGGGCCTCGGCGAACGAGCACCCTGCCGTTTTAAATGAACTTGAGACCGCCCTTATCGCTTCTGCTCTTCGAAACACGTGCATCACAGACTTTTTTGGGCAAAAAAAGTTTGCGTTTTCTCTCGCAACTTTTTAAAAAGCTGTATTTCATTTAATACGAACTTCAGGATACAGTGAACGGATGCCGTGTCACACTCAGGTTCGTTATAAGCAGGCTCGGCTGTACTATGTTTTCATTTTTTAGGTTTTTCAGTGTTTATAAGGCCATCTTTATAAAATTGAACATACAGCAAAAGGTTCAACTGTCCAGAAATTGAGACCACATACTTACATATGGGAATGAGCTACAGACTGCGCAACCACGCTGTAATATTCAACATCACATATAAATATGCATCACCCAGACAAAACATTATAATTTTGTTGGGGTGGACATACTAAAAATGTGCGATATGACCAAGCAGGCAATCTTAGTCTCCTCTGCAGAAACTGCAGCTGCAAGCCCCAACAATTTCAGTGCTACTCAGTAGCTCGGAGTGCGATGCAACTGACAGATGATATGGTATATGTGGAAAATGTACACTCAAACCTCGATATAACGAATTATCGGTTATAAGGAAGCAAGCAACCGATAGCTTCACCATAGATACAGTGTTACAAATAATTGTGTGTAACAAATTTTCAGATATAACAAAGTATTTGCATGGCAGATCTGACTGTTATAATGAGCTTACAGCGTAGTACCTCAATTTACATACATGCTTCAGCACACCCTCGTTTGATTCAACAACATTAAAACCAAATTCCACAATCTTAATTTTTCGAGGGATGCTATTTCAGCGCAGCAATTTGAGAGCAGTTCGTTCATTATTAAGCGGCGAAAGTGGCTATAGCTTCACAATGCTTTGCCTTTGCATTGCTGCCCACTCCTACATACGAGGATTTAAGCATGCAGGTAAAATCCACAAATAAACTTTTTATAAGTGCAATTGACGGGGGTGCTATCAACCCCTGCAAAGTCATTTGCAGATCGTAGAGCAGATATGTTTGGTCGATGGGCCGCATGTAGCCTTAACAGATGCTCAAGGATGGGTTGGGCAGTGCTCACTCTAGTTCACCATCATCAGCATCATTGTGAATAGAGTGGTAGCGCAGAGCCACTCAGCAGCAAGAATGGGTGGCTGCAAGGAAGGCATGAGTGAGTGACTGTTTTTGGCATTGGGGCGGCGATGGCGAGGGTCATCTCGCACAGTGAGTCCATGTGAATGGCACCCCAGGTTGACTCCAATGGGCCCCTCAAGGTGAGTCTAAGATTGACGACATCGCCTTTAGTGTTACCTTGTATAGGTTTTTTAAGTTTTTATTTTGTTTGAGTGTTATAATAGGAATATTGCATAATGTTGTTTTTGGTGACCTATTTCATTTGGCCGGCAATATCGTCGTTTGTACAAGTAGCTGAATAAATGTACGCAATGTTTGGCTTGGTTCGACTGCATCTCCTGTGTCCATCCGTTCCGAGAGCATGCTTCATATCGAAACACCACAAACTAGAACACAAAAGCCGTCCGTTGCTCACCCTGTATTCACCTGACTTGGCGTTCATCATTCTCGTCTTCATGACATCCAAGGGCTGCGTTAGTGTCGTCGCTATGCCAGCCTGCAAAAGAAGGGACGGGCACCGTCAGCCAGAATGAAAGCTCCAGAGAATCGCTAGCACGCAAAAGGCGATGACAGGACAACTTATGGCAACTTATTAATACAACACAACCAAAACAGTGAAGACTTGCAATGGTTGTACTAAAGGTAATTACAATGAAACTTCAATTATAATGAACTTCAGTATAGTAAAATTTTATATATACCAAAATGGTTGAATTTTTATAGCTTAGTCTATATGTTGCATATATTTTTAGGTTGGTTATATTGTAATTACAACAATTACTAACCGCTTTTGCAAAGGAGTACCGAGATAATAAATTGAGACTTCTGTGGGTGTTAGTAATACAATGGGTGTACATGCAACTTTCGCGAGTAAGTTTTCCAAGAGGTACATGGCCCGACTGAGAACCGCTGCTGAAGCGGAGTAGCATCTTTCTGCAGCCAATGCTTTTGACATGCACCACCAGATCTCAAAACCCACGGGCTAGTAAGGACAGCATTCAAAAAACACATATGTATTGCCACATGTATAGTAATGGCTCAGTAGTCAAGGCGCCAATATCGTTGCAGCAATAAAAGTGAGCAGGCTCAATGGGCATGCTTTTGCAATGAGATTCACAAAGGCTACTGGCTGGCACTGGCAATGAAATTGAAATAAACCTAGCTTTCATTTGAGCCCTACATCTCTTATTGCTGCTCTGTTTTTAGCTGAGAATGCACACCGTGGTAACTCGATGCTTCCTCATATTTCTGGGGCCATGTTTGCCGAGCAGCCCCTACAACCCGCCGACGCCTAAGACACCATCAAGGCCCCACATTTAAAGGGATCCTGAAATGCTTTTTCAAGTAACCACAGAATGAATTTACTGGAAAAGCTTATTGCCCCACAAATTCAATGCCACAAAAACTTTAAGAATCTGCCCAGTGTGAGTAGAGTTACGAAGGTTTGTCGCATACTGCAAGTGCATTTTCTTTTCTCTCATCCCGACGAAAGCGCTGGAAGCTAAGCAGGGAGGGATGGCAGGGCCACAGAAAAACGTCACACGCGCCTTGTGACCTTGAGCACTTTTTTTTTTCTTTGAATGCGCCGCTTTTTCGATGTGATCGCGTGCGCACGCATGGGCAAGTTGCAGCCTCCCACAGCGATCTCTGTAACGAGCGAGTGCACCATGTTCATATCAGCCAATGGCTGATAGATGGGTAATTCATGTGTGATATTTGGGCATATTCCACTATTTGTCGAGAGAAGAGACAGCAATATTCAGCTGACTTTGATAATTCATTGTGAATTCGAGGCTGCGTGCTGTGCTATATTTGGCTCGCGTGTTGTCGGGAGCCTCTACTACCGATCGGCAGCGTTTTCTGACCATGCTCAGAAAGTGTTGCAGGGCCCCTACAATGGAAGGAATAATACGCAAATGATATGAACAAAAGAAGCGACATGGGCAAATGCCGCGTCCAACAAAACGTTCTACTTGAAGCCCCATAAGTAGCCAATGCCTGTGTTCAACTGCTGAACTTTTTAGCACCAGAGCCCGAAAATCCATTTCTTCTAGACCACCAAAGTTGGGTTATAAGACATCGTGTAGGCACCCCTCTCCATTTTACTGTGTGACAGTTTCAAAACTATATGACTATCTCAAACCTATAACACAAGACACACTTCCTATGTGGAGGCCTTCAGGTGTTGTTGACAGGATAGTAGCCAGTATATTTTTCTTTCCCATTTTACATAGAGCATCACTTCTTTAGCTTTTGTTTTTCTTTTGAGAGCGTAACAATAAACCCAGCACATCCAACACAACGTTGAGAACTTTGCTAAACATTATGCAAGTGACGCTTAGCCGAATTGCGGTAAAAAAATATTGCTCATCCCGGCCAAGCGTCGCCAAGGAAGAAAGATGAGGTGTCAGAAGGCACTGGTATACACAGCAGAGTGCACCAAGCTACGTCTACTGACAGTGGAATCTTACCGCCATTAGGCTGGAAGAAAAGTGCGTCGTTAGGTTGTCGCTGAAATACCCAGTCGATAGCAGAGCTTGCTTGATCTGCTCGTAAAATGAGATCTGAAGGGGAAAAAAGCAGCAACAGTTTAAACGAAACGTTGAAATTTCATGAGCCTAAACTACAATGTCATTATGAGACACACTGTAGTGGGGGATTCTGAATTCATAATTCAACTGACTGGTGTTTTTTTTTTTTTTTTTTTAGCGTGAGCCCACATCTAAGCACATAGGAGTTTCTTTAGGAAAGTTGAAACCAGGATAGTAATATTAAGGTTCCAAGTAAATAGTGATTGGGTGCGATAAGTTAAAATCGAATGGTTCAAATAGCAGATCACACATTGTAAAAACAAATGAGCATATCTATCATGATCGAACTATCTTACCTAGCTAACTAACTAGCTAGCTAGCTAGCCACATTACATCTGGATACTCTATTCGTGGGCTCCTTAAACTTGGTATAATAACATTGGAGTAGCCAGGGGCTGGCACGTTAAAATGTGCGCTCCCCCCCCACAGCCCACAAATTTCTTTGCCAGGCCATACAGACCACAAAACGACACTCAACTACACCTGTGTGCCTGCCCCCCCCCCTTTAAATCAACCCCCCCCCCCTCCTCGAAAAAAATTGCTGCTTATGCCTGTGGCACAGTATACCAAATTGGCACAGCTGGTTATGACCCTACGACAAATATGACTGGCAGGTCATGACATGACTAATGTGACAAGCATGTTGTGTACACTTCAAAACCCCAGTCACATGTGGCACAATCCCGCATACCACGAGCCACGTTATATGCGTGGACATGAGCCACACGCAAGTCGCTGTCCATATTGTCATGTCGCAGGGACAGAGAAGAAAAGTGCAGCAGGTAAAAGTGAAACACTTTATTGAGCGACCTTTTGCACAGTAAAAGATTTATGATGCAGTAAAAGAGGCAAGCACAGTTGTTGGTTGTCCGTAATCTCAGCTGCAGGGCGCATTGGCAATCATACACGTGGCATGAAGGATTTGAGCGTCATCGCTTGTGGCTGTGCAAGTTCTAGAACAAACCACAGTGTTCACATTGTGAACATAATATACAGTGCAGTCCACTTATAACGATATCGAGAAAACCTAAAAATATGATCGCTATAACCGGTGATCGTTATATCTGGACTGCCGCCAAAAAATCGTCGCCGGACGTACCTTTTGTAGCTCCAAGCTTCATTTCGCTATTTTCACCAATTAATAAATATTGTAGATAGTAGGATGTCAAAAACAAGACTTTATTTCCTACTCCGAAGAACGCATCACGGGTTCGCTGAGGAAGAGAGACTGACCGACGGCGGGGTGGGAGCAGTGGGAGGAAGAAAGCACAGCCAGAGGTACACAGCCGGAATGCCAACGAGGCCCCGCCCCGATGCCGCCGCGCCGCTTTGCTTTTCGCTTTTTTTATTTTCTTTCTCTTTCCCGCTTTCGTTCGGCAAGCTAGGAGTAGCTTGCCGGCTTGCCGTTGTAGAAGGCGGGGAGCCGCGGAGCGCGGCGCTTTGCTTTTCGCATTTTTTTTTTTAAATTCTCTCAGCCTCTCCACGGTCGACGCGCGGCGAGGCGCAAAATGTGACACAGTTGGCGCCATCTGTAGCGCGTCGCGCCAGCTCGCGATGCTCTCCTCGGCTTTTTGAACGGCCGGGACGCGCTGCCGGCGCTGTGCTGCAGTGGCGGCAGATACGTACTCGCCTACACTAACTTTTCGTCTTGTCTCGGCATAGTTCGTTTCAGAGGAACTTATCTATCTAAATGCTACGATTATTCTGAATGAAACATGCCGTCCACGGCAAACTTTTTATCGTTGTATCCGATATGCGGTGGATAACATATAGCGCTATATATGGTTTTTTTCCCCATAGCCCCAATGCATAAAATGAGACTGTTAAGTCGACCCATCGTTATAACCGATATATCGTTATATGTGGTATCGTTATAAGTGGACTGCACTGTAATCATAAGAGTTTAAGATAACAGGGCAGGTTCTCAGATATTCCAGCTCGGTCTGCACAAAGTCGTGGTCACACGCTTGATGGGCCACTAACACGAAGATGGAAAGAGAAATGCACGTGGTAACACTAACCCAGTTGGTGTTCGTCACTCCAACATCACTCCTTCGTCACTCCAACCACTGTTGCTCCCATGTTTATGATACACAGCAGAATGAAAACACATTTAGACACGCCGATCTTTTTAGTATTGTAAGCAACACATTATGGCCAAGGAATATAACGAATTCATACCAGACCAGCAGTTCAACCAGCCACAGTCATATTACTGGGCTGTTATTGTAAAAAGTACTGCTGTTGAATGCCTTTATAATAAATACTATTCACCAGAGAGTGGTTCTCGTCTTTTGTATAAGGTATCGCTTACAAGCAGGGTACCATGTTGTCGTTTTCTAATCTACTCCTATTTCAATGAAGGCATGTGGGCATTCTGTATACCCAGTTGCCTGTGACATCAATGCTTCTATAAATGGGTTCAACTGTATAGTAGTACTGCTCTGGTACCAAGCTCACCCCCTGCGACTATCGCACAATACTACGGGGATTACACCGCCGCCCTTCTGTTTGTGCCCACCTTCTCCTGTCTTTGTGTAGTTGCAGGTACAAGCACCCACCCAATGACGCAACAAACCCAGTGCCTAGCAATCGACTTTTGTGCCATTAAAAAAAAAAGCTACAAATGCAATGCAGCCATCTCTACCTGCCCGATGGTCATGAGCACGGCTCTGGCCGTAGCCGCACCACCTCCGGAGAAGAGCTTGAGTGCTCCCTCCTGCCGGTAGACGCGCCACAGGCCATCCAGCGCGTTCTTGTAGCTGAACAGAAAGATAGGCAGCTTTACTTAAGGAAAGGTATAAAGGTGTGCATGAGGGATAGTATGCTCTAGCCTGCTACTTTACAGCAGGGGATAGGAAAATGAAGGAAAGAGAGTAATGGATGATGAGGGTGAGATAGAGAGGCGAGTATATAAAGTCCTTTCTAATCGACAAAATGTTACAGCCATGCATATAGTCCAGTTGGCTTTAAAAAGAAAAGCTGAAGAGACGTAGACAGGTGTGCAGGACAAAACGTAGAAAGGTGATCATGCTGTCCCTTAGCTGAGGTTGCAGAGAGGAAGCTTGTTGGCAATGTTATAATACTACAAACAGCAAGCTTTTCTATGCGTTAAGAGGTTGGCAGCGTTTTGAGGTAAAAAGTGAAGTTGAATAAAGCTGACACAGCAAGGAGGGGCGTGGGGGTGGGGTTGACACCAACTTGGAGGAGGGGTACTTTGCAGGCAAATCAAAATCAATTTTATTGTAATTAGTACCAAGGTTGCATTTAAATTGTTTTTACAAACTATTCGCACAATGCAACATGCCCACTTGAACAAAAAGGGTAATATGCTAATGTCCCAACTTCTACAACCACAACAAGAGCACAACGGTAGAAAGGTGCACTCACTTTCTTCGGTTTTCAGCAGGCAGTTTGACGTCATTTTGCATCCTGAGGGAAGAAAAACAAAAACAAAAAGCAAATATGAGAGAATGAAACAACAAAGCAAAAGCAGCATTTCTATGTGCCACCTTGTGCGCATCACAGCGTAACCCCTTTACAAGAGACATGCACCGGGCAGCCGGCCAATACCATGCACGAGTTTTCTTATCAGCCCCTATTTCAATGTAGGCACACTGGTGTCTTTTACACCCACTTGTCTCTTGCATCAGTGTCTCTTATAAAGAGGTTCGACTGTACAAGTGGCTAGTCATGCAACAAATTATTTGTTGGTCTTGGTAATCTACTCACATAATGATTGTTAATGATGACTGGGCTTGTGCAAATAGCGAATTTCAGGTTTGAAGAAAATAGCAATTTTAGTAGATTTTCAAATTGAATAGCACATATTGCATATTATTAAGAAAAATGAGCATATTTGTCATGACCCAATGAACCTGCACAACATTTTTTAAAGATCAAAACAAGGCCTGTGCAAATGCCATTCTTCTTGTTTTAAAAGAACTGGAAACACTATTTAATAATAGCGGGAATCGACGTTCAGTAGAATGCAAGCGATAACCTGAAAAATATGTCACATATTTGAAAACTTTACTATATTAGGAGCATGTAAGCCAGTATAACAAGGTTGTAAACTTAAAGAATGATAAACCCGTGCAAGAGTAACAGGTTTCTTTAACCATGAAATGGGACTTCGCAACAGTGCGAACTTTACCTCGGTAGGTGTTTTCAGCAACCCTTCAATGCAGTGAAACGTACAAGAGGCTACATGCTGGCTAGCAACACCTACTTGTTGATTTAGAATGATTCAAACTTTTCAGCAATTTTAAATTAAATCAAAATGAATTGAAGTACGGTAATATTTATTTGAATATTAAAAGCATTTGAATATTTGCACAAGCTTAACTGATCCCATGCTTGAACTTTTTCTTCTAAACTTAATTTTTTTTTCTTTCCTGCATAATGACTATACTCCAAACTTGACATGCAGCGCACATGATGTATCAAATTAACAAAAAAAGCATGATTATAACCACTGCACATAACCTGGACCTTACTTTTTAAGCACAGTTTTCCGTTTTCAGCATAAAATATGTGCGAGAATATACACTATTTCATGTGCCAAGTAGATACTTATACACGGCTGGTATGTGTACCACAATGATAGAGCTCTTTTCTCATTTGCATGGTCTACCATGAGGCAATACCTTCAAACAAAGTTACATACAAGCACGCTTCCTGACATGAAATAACACTTGGTTCTATCTCATACTAGTCGCTACTTCAATTTTCTTTCAACTTCCTTACATTAGGGGGCACTGCGTGTTGGACAGGTAACTCACACAAACTTTTCCAACACCTTTTGCTCCTAACGAGGCTTCTAGTGCTTAGCCACTAACGGTAGGTGACACTTTCCCACCTGACATTCACCATGTCGGCCGGGGTGCCGACAAACCCGCCAGTGGCACCGGCAACGCCTGCGACAAAGACCTTCTGGTAGAACTTCATGTTCTCTCCCGGCTTGACCAGGTACTGCCGAACAACCTCGTACATGCCAAAGCGCGTTGTCGAGTAGGTCAACTGCGCCATGACAACAATTGTGCCTGGAATCCCGCAACACGTTGAAGGGCCCCTCATCAGGTCTGGCGGATAGCTGTAGCGAGTAGGTAGCACACTGGCCAACTATGCCTCCCAAGTATCAAACCACTCCACAGTTCGAAAACAGCACCAACTTCAAACGGTAGTCTCCTGTGCACCCTCCCAAACTTGTGAGCCTCATTTCATGCTAGGAGATCAAGGTCGCAAGTGGGATTCCTTTGGTTCATAAGACACCACCCACAATACTGTCAATTATACAAAATGACACAATTCTGATCTATTATAAACGTATTCTGTTTTGTTATCAGGTATAAGGAAGTTGCCAAAACTCTATGTCACTTGAAGTTACTACTCCACAAAACATCAATTAATTGATTGATTTGTGGTGTTTAACGTCCCAAAACCACCATATGATTATGAGAGACGCCGTAGTGGAGGGCTCCGGAAATTTCGACCACCTGGGGTTCTTTAACGTGCGCCCAAATCTGAGCACACGGGAAAACATCAATTAAACCTAAGCTTGAGCATGCTTCTTCTGTTTTGGACTCTAGTGAAAAAACATTAACAACTATCACTGAATCAGTTCTGAATCGTCCAGCACATTTCATTAACGTAAAGTATTCCCACGCAGCTAGCATTTCACTACTAAAATCTGACCTTGTGCTAACGAAAGTGAAATTTCCACAAAAAAATTTCTCATCTATGTCTTTTTCAAAAAATCATGTTCATCTCAGCACCTTCATACGTATCACCGCATCTTGATCATCAGTATAATGGTTTCATTTCTTTTTGCCGCACTAACATTTTTCAGTCGTTGTTACCAAAAACGAGCGTTGAGTGGAACCGCCTTGCATACTCCAATGCCTACATCAAGGAAGCTTCATCATTCAAAGTTGCACTAATCAATCACATGTTCAGCCTGTCATAGCTTAGTTTGTTTGAAAATATACATTTACTAATACGTTGTATGTCTATGTTGTATTCTTGAATTTTATTTTGTGTACGAAGAGACAAAGAGAAAAAATAAACAACTGTTCCAATGCTTCTCTTGTTGGGGAAATGTTTCTGCTTTCCTGTTCACCTTAATTTTTGAACAGAACTGAACTAACAACAACACAAAAATACGAGTGAAAATTCTCATGCATTCTTCCAAATAGTTTCTGTTTGTTGACTTCTACTTCAATTTGCAAGAAAGAAAGAAATCGTGTACACTGTCATCTTTTACGAAAGCGAACACGTGAGCTCGTGGCCTGCGCTCTGTGGCGTCTGCCTACAGGACCATCATCAACAGACAGCCAAAAAAAAGACGTTGGCTTTTGGCGTCATTTATCGGCAAGCAGAACAACAAGTTGTGGCCGCTGGGCAAGCACTGCCAGATACTGTAGGCAACCGTTATAGAGAGCAGATCACGCGATCACGTGTTCCCTTTCATAGAGAACGACAGTGCAGTGTTAGTGTAACCAGTTACTGGACATAATACATAATAATGTGGAAGCAATTGGATTCAAACTGCACATAAACTTAGACAAACTACGAAGGCTCCACTGCTTATGCATAGGTGGTCATCATTTGTGGAACAAAACCACTCGGAGCATTTTCACAAGCACCAACCTGTCGGAGAATAGACGCGCTGAGGCCGTTGTACATGGCCAGTACGCCCTGGTGCCGAATGATGGTCACTGTGCTGCCCACCAGGCTGACACGTCCCACCGACTGCGTCTGCAAATGCACCTGCGCAGTAGATGAGCACGATTACATGATTCATATCTAACTAGTCCTTGCGAATCCACATTCCGACATCAATAGTGTATACATTGTTCTCTCTCTGTGCGGGTGCATGTGTGTTTCTCCTGCAAGAGATTACCAGCCCACTCAAGCTTTGTTCCGATATGATGATGGTGGAGATTTGTGCAGTACTGACTCATCTTTTTGCACAACTCAGTAACATCATGTTAATTTTCTCATTACCCTCTTCTTAATCTTCACAATTCAATTGTACACATCTCTCCTGCCTTTCCCATTGTGGCTACTTAAAGGTACACTAAAGAGAGACAATGACTTGATATAGATGGACAAACTGCACTCAGAGAATTATAATGTCATATGGTTCAATATCTAGAGTGCCTTATTAGAGGAAAGGCTCATGGTTGAAATTTCATTTTAAAATTTTGTTGGAAATCTCAACGTGCGTGGTGTCAAACATATTAAAATTGCGTTTTAAAATTACATTGGCTCGATGAAATTTTCTTAAACATCGTGTGCTAGGTCTGTCGCATTCACAGATCACAATGTACTTCGTTCTTCATTGATCAGAAGCTATGTAGGACCCAGCAGAGGCCATCAATAGCTATGACGCCACGGTGTTCGGTGCGCGAATCTCATGATGGCGTCTCCCCTCACATTTTTATTTTTTTTTTCATACATGCTCTCGCTTACCAAGCAACACGTCACGGTGAAAGAGGCATTTTCGGGATAGCAAAACTACTTTACTGATATGAAAAAAGTTGTTTTGCTCTTTAGTGTCCCGCTAACAACTCACTTCACAATTTGTGGGAAGAAGCACAATTCTTCGATCAGGACCTGGGAGCAAATTGGCTATCCCCAATCACATGTGGCAAGCCACAGCAGCTAGCTGAGCCCAGGAAGAGGGGCTCCCCTCACAGCAAACAAATGCAGCCTTTATATCAATAAAGCTGCTTCTTTTTTTTCCTTCTCCCTTGCCTTTCAATGTCAGTCTGTTGCCAGTCTGCTGTTTTCCTACACCTAAAGGGCTGTGCCAAACAGAATGTTGGTGTGGCAGACCTTTCGTCTGGCATGCAACCACTTGGGACATGAACTGGGAGTGAAGAGTAGGCAGTACTTCGAACAATGACTTAAGTGTATTAATAAACCAGAGGGCTACGCTCGCTTTGTGCTTGCCTTTCCGGATACCCAACGTGCCGTGTTTCATCCTCAAGTGTGGGCCAAGAAAAAGGGTACGTCCAGTCCGAATCCAGTTGCGCACAGTAGTCTGTGTTGCTGAGTGCATAGACAGCCCCTGAGACAGATTCTAAATGTAACAATGCTATAGGCACAGAAAAGCTAAGGACAAGCCACCATGTCTGGTGGGTTCACACAAGCTTTGTACTTTTATACCTGCTACAGTGGGCTCACTTTACACTGCACCACGAGGGGCCATTCCATTTTCCGTATAACTTTTACCTGGAGTTAAACGTAGTGTCGGAAAAAACGTTGACGAAACTGCAGAGCTTTTTTTGGGGGGCAATAACTGTGCTGCATAAAAGATATAAGCTGTACGGCACAAAACCAATGCTCAGGAAAAATAAACTTCAAAAAAGAACAACCGGAAGAAGGTAGTTAACAACTGATTCCAGAATCAGTGATAGCAGCTTTGGAACATGCAACATAGTTCACCTATAGTACAGGCTAGTACCAGTATGACAGTGAACAGTGCTACGCAGAACACAGCATTATGATCAAAGTCAAAATAGTGATAACAGGGCTTTTTAGATGAAGAAAAAAATGCTAATAACAACACAATAACTTCTTGGGTTTTACATACCAAAACTGCAATACGTGGCAGGCCGTAGTAGAATGTTCCAGAAATTTTGACTATCTTGAGTTCTTTAACGGGCCTTGACATCACACAGGAAACACACCTCTAGCATTCAATCTCCATTGAAATGTGAACATCGTGAGCGAGATCAAACCCGTGACCTTAGGGTCAGCAGCCGAACACTGTAACCATTACACTATCAGCGAAAGAAGATGAGGGCTAACAGACACAGCAGTGCATCTGTTACCAATCTTGATTTAGTTCCTGGCCCCATTCTTTTCATCGATGTTCTATGCTGCATAAACTGGCCCAAATGAACACACTAATGAAACTTGCGGACCTTCAACTTTGAAAATAGGTGTCAGTAGCCCATCAAAGAACATCTCACTGATATTCCCTACCAAATCTAATTAGGTGTTGGCGTTTAACGTCTTAAAACTATAATATGAATACGACGGACGTTGGCTTGAGAAATTTCCACACCCCAGAGTTCTTCACTGTGCACCCAAATCTATGCACATGAGCCTCAAGCATTTTCTCCTCCATAGAAAATGCGGCCGCCATGGAAGAAATTGTGCAATACTAAATCTCCCCAGCAGTTTGACATACCTTCAGTAAGTCAAGGGGGTGAGTGAAGCAAGCAGCCATGGATCCCGCCAGGCCCCCGAAGTACCACCGGGCGAGGCGCACCTCCTTGCGAGACAGGGCCGCCCCCAACACGTGCTTCTGCTTGGACATTATCTCTCAGGATGCCTTCGCCAGAGTGAAGAATGCATTACATAAGAAAGAGGGCATAATCTTAAAGAGATACTAAATACAAATGGAAATAAATGGCAGAAGCACTGAAATTTCGCTAGGAAGACATGACTTCTTCAATAACCCAACTTTATTTCGCATAGTTTTGAACAGTAGGCTGTATTAGACGATTCTGAGCATGCTTGGAGCTGCCCATCGATGACCGTGACGTCAGGTGTCCCATGGTGGAAGCACGGTACACACTTTCCTGTCCTGCTACTTGCCTTCCTTCACCTCTTTTCTACATCCTACTTTCCGCCATGCACAAGGACACCAAGGCATGCCCCACCCCCCAGGGGATTTACCTTACCTGGAAGCGTTATTCCATGTCAGCCCCTCACTGATTAGAGGAAACGTAGTGAGAGCAGGGCAATTCGAAAGACGTGGGTGGTGGCGGACATGGTTGGTACGCCCATTTACAAAGACGTTAAATGTCATCTCTTTCAGTCCACAGCGCCGCTAAATGCGGGTTTGTGAAAATGCAATAAATTTCACCACATCTTTTAATTGGGTAGAAAACATTGGCAGAAAAAAATTTCAGTATCCCTTTAAAGACTGTACATCTCTTAAGGAGTAAGACGCAGTGATGATTAAAGAGAAGCTTCATGAAATGGTGTATAAATGACAATATAAAAGTGTAATTTGACTGCATACAGACTTTTGGAATTGTGTGCATGCAGTCCATAAAGTATATTTGTTCTAAAATTATAAAAATGGTTGAGTAAAATGTGCCATGAATGACACTAAACACTAATAGCAGTGCACAGACAATTTCCTCACCAGGCAATGCTGCACAGGCAAAGTTTGCACCAGAAACAAAAAGGATGCTCAAAAGCTACAAGAGTAGATGAAACTAACTTGTAAAAAGCTTTCATGCGACATCAACTTCTTTTCAAACCAAAGTGCAGAGATTTGAAAATGAGAGAATCGATGCCTTAGTCTCAACATATGAACGCAAACCGATTTCAAATGATAGATTCTATTTTGCCTGTGAAAATCTGAAAAATCACTGATCCCATAAAGAAAATTCAATCCAGTAAACCTGATTAGTACCCGACGACTCAGGGTTTTATTTCAGCTTGTTGTTTTAGTGCTAATGTTATCAGTATAGAGCACAATCAAATGTTAATTTTTCAACAAAAGCTGTTACGAGATCGCAACTCAAGTCAAGCGCGGCGCTGTAGTTGTCCCTCGCCGCCGCTGCCGCCATTGTCCATAACCAATATAGCTCGAAATGAGAATAAAAAAGCCTCAGTGAATAAAAAAACACCAGGGACACAGTGGGGCTCGAACCCAAGTTCGCTGCGTGCCAGCCCAATATTCTACCACTGAGCGAGAAAGGAATCCCGTTAATATGAGTAATAAACATTTTAGAACAGCAAAAAAAAAAAACTGGCATCACACAATGCTAATGACATAAGGAGCGGGTCGTCCAATGCTCCAAGCCATTACAAAAACTTGTTCTTGATCACCTCTCGACTGTGGCACATACCCACTTCAGGCATAATTCCTCATCGTCATCAGCCACTGCATAAACAATTGGCACAAAATTCCTTGCAAGTGTTTAGCGGATACCACGTTTCTCAGAAGAATGACGAAGGATAGCATACTGAATGCGGGCATAGTGAATGCTGGCCTACTACCCAGCAATTATTATTATTAATTCCATAGTAGGTACCCAGCAAGTGCGCTTGTAGCAGTTACCCTATGAGTGATTAGAAAAGGCTCTGAAGGGCCGCTCTTCTAGCTTTCGCTGTGACTGCACTGCGCCGTCCACACAGGCCTGTGAAAGAGGCCATTCTAAATTCGAAAAATTCTCAGCGGTATATTAGTTTCTGGACTGTATTAGATTTTTATTTATTCCGGTCTGAGGAATGTTCACTTACACGCCCCCGCTGCGGAGCATTTGTTAAAGGGACCTATTTTACTTGCAATGCTTCAGAAAAATGCGTGCGAAACCGAACATGTGTGACTGCGGAAATCATACTACCTGTGCACGTAAACGCTATTGCCGAAGTACGAACTGAGCTACACAGCTGTGAATGATCGCATTCATACTTCCCACAGATGTTGCAGTCGCAGCAATAAAAAAAAGTCGTCGGCACACACTCATCAGCTATGCTTGGCAGCTGCCCGATTTATCTGCACGTCAGCATATTTATTACGTTATTGCTGCTACGGTGTACTGGCGTACATTTACATCTGTGAACTTTTCGATTCGTATGAAAACTACAGTGAAGCTTTAAAGCACAATTAAAAGGTGTGGCAATTTTCAAACATTTTATTTGATATGCTGGTAATATTTCGAGCCTAGTCTGTACTGTTTTTGTTTAGTCAAGATACAAAGATCTAACAACACCTGTCAGCTTCTAGTACTGAAACGGCTCAGACTTGATGTTAAACTATAAAATAATTTGCTCTAATTCAACTACACCCCATTACTGTATTATTCTTCATTTTTTTTTAAGATTCTTTCTGAATGTGCCTCTCCTTCTTAAAAATGACACCTTAATGTTACTCAAAAATTGATTTACTGACAAAAATTGATTTACTGACAGAAATTAACACACCAGTGACTGAAGCAGCAATCGGAAAATACAGCACTACACTACATATTTCACAAGTACATTTCTGTGGTGACGAAATGGTGCATTCGGCCTCTTCAAGCCTCGTTTCTTTGTATTTACAATCTTGTATTTTTTTTTTCTGTCAGCATAGTGTAATGCTTGTAGACTCCAGTGAGTATAAGTAAACTCATTAATGATTAAACATGACTTGACCCAATTCTTTTTTTTTTTCCAGTGTATTATTTATGTACGATACCCCCTTCTACAAGACATACTGGCAGGCTCCAGATTATTTTGCTTGTCTCAGTTTATGTAGTTTTTTTGCATCTTTATAAGTTCAAAATATGAGTGCTCTTTGTACTGCCCAAACATTGCACTCTGTGCAAACACAGCAACAGGAAATCACTACATGACTAATATCAAAATTGATGAATTGAACTTTCCAGCAATTAATGCAGAAGTGATATAATTAGATATTAGATAACATATAGAAAGCACAAGCACTGCGGAAAGTAGTGGGCAACTCATATGTGTTTAATTACAAATTATTTGGGAAGTGTTTGGATAACAAACAGAAATGAACATTAATTTTGTTGAAGCATTGAGTGCCTCAAAATCGCTAAAATTGCATTGATTTGATGTATTCACAGACAGTTCTTAGGTGGCACCTGAAAGAATTAAACTTAGTTTCAATAAGAAGTCCGTTTCAACAACAAGAAGTCCGTATCACAGGAAAAATATTTTCTAAAATGTGAATAAAAACAGTGAGTTCATAGTTCTACAAGATGAGGTCACTACTGTTAGGCAATGTTTAAGAAGGTGTGATGGAACATATAGAAAGCACAAGCACTGCGGAAAGTAGTGGGCAACTTCGTAGAGCGCTATATACCATAACAGAACACAGAGTGCAAATGAATGTCAAACCATGCTTCTTCCCGGTTCATTGCTGCAATACTGGAGAGTATGTTACTAAAGCAGAAGATCTTTCCTTCATATATTAGCTTAAAGTTCACCGTAGCATGCAATGATTTCTCTCATGACTTCTCTTTAACTTAATTATTTTTTTCGAAAGTTTTGACAAGAAGCAGCATTAATTGAGTTTGGCATTTTATAATGTTGCTTTCTTGCTTTAATTATACCAACTCACACCATTTCAATCTCCAGATATAAATAAATTGGAGGGTTCAAATTAGAGAAACGGCAGCACTTTATTTGGCAGAGCCTAATAAAATGAGTAGCATCTCTGCAACTGCTCGTAGCCATAGAAAGTAGCATCTCTGTAAATGCTTGCAGTCGTGGGCAAAACAGACTGTCTAGTAAACTCTAATTTCAAGATAGCAGGGCACCAGTTCCCACAGTTTCATGTCAGCTCCAGAGAATTCATTTCACTTGAGTTAGCAATCAAGCGTCCCAATGCTACAGTTTTGTCACTGGGGCGATGCCATCTTGAAAGCTTTCCAAAGTGGATGCTTGAGGCAAGAGCCGATCACGTAGACTTTATTACAGCAGGCTGTTTTAGCGCAGTGAGCTATATAAATACTCCTTGAGGGTCTAGTTAATCAAGCATCTAGAAAGGAAGGTCAGTTGCCCTGCAGTCTTTGACTCTCGTGTTGCCAAAGCTTGCGCATTTACTTTCAAGAGCTAGAGAAACGAATCATGTCAATTTAGTGCTTACTCTACGAAACATTGTAAATGCACACAGCACCCCCTGCACTCACCCCGTGGTGACGACGTCACGATGGCGCGGGTTAGACTCTCTGGCAAGGCGCCAGCACGTAGATGGGGCCGAAATGCGAAGGCGCCCCTGGATTCAATCTGACGTGCACGCAAATGAGCCTCGCGTGATAAAAATTAATCTGTGTCCAGCACCCACCACCTCTTGCGATCACAATTAAACCGCGGTTTCAGCACTCAGTACCTCAGAATTACGACGCGAAAAGTGTATCTCGAAGAATGTCTGTGCACGCGCCGTCAATACAGGTTGCGATCGCACGCTGGCGCAAGCTCGCACGGGGAAAACGAAACGCCGCACACTTACAACTTGCCTGTTCAGAGCTCGCACGTGTTTTTGTCCACACTGACTGGGAGGCTTTCCTCGTGTCGTGTGAGTTCGTCGTGACTTGCGAGAAAGTCTATGCAATGGCTTATCAGTCATTATCTGTCGTATAGCAACAGAGCGGCGACGTTATCGACGCGTCGTCCGATCATGAGGAAGAAGATCCTCCAACGTTATGACGGAGGAGGCGACAGCGATTGTCAATTTGGCATGGTGCCGCAGCCAGCACCACACTTCAACAGCCACCAAGCACACTGCAAAAGGACGTTCACAAAATGTAAGCAGCCGCGTACCGTGAAACGCCGGTCCGGAGTTTGAAACCGCCAAATCAGGACATCCGATCAAGTCAGCCTTTCGCGCTTCGAGTCGCTAGTACTCCTGACGAAGGTGAATACTGTGAAAGCCAGTGCGACGGCTCCAAAGGTCGCGCGGTAAGGATAATTACTATTGACAAACCAGCTATCCTGTGACGTTTACAGAGCGGCATTGACGTGCTGGTGGTTTCGCGACCGCCGCAGCTGTTTTCCTTGTGAAGGCGGGATCGCTTGATCGAGGAGAGAGAAGGAGAGAGGTGGCGCAACAAAACCGGCATGCCTTGTCTTCGTGGTTTCTCTTACCTTTAGGCAATGAGACACGTCACAGGAGGAAGATGATGTGTGCTTCACGCTCGGACGACGCAGTAACAACTGATCGCGGCTATTTTTTCTCTCGAACAGCAGCGGCAGGAAGGCAGTGCTTGCATTTCGAAAGCTACAGCAAGATGCAGAAGAGTGCAGCAGCATCCGCGTAAGCTGCAGCGCACTACGGCTATGGCTTTAGACGGCCAGCAACGGTAGTTTGAATTCGCGTAACTTTTATGGTTTCGGTTTCGCTAGCTTAAGACGCGCTGTTGCCCGTCTAGCACACTTAAAATTTCAAACTGAACAGGGCAAGCACGTCTAAGCCTTGAGGGCGAGCTATTTGCGCATGACAATGTAAAAGCCAGGCACGAGTGACGTGAGTTACGTGTCATCTAAAAACGCCTTCTACTTTGGCGCACTTGGCACACGGCACTTGTTATTCGGCCCTAACACGTGTCGGGACAGAAATACATGGTTTACCTGCACAGCATGATGAATGTATACAATACCAATGAATATGCCAGAATGACAGTGCGCATTACTATCCTACCATCGATTCAGTGACTGTTTGCGCTGATATTGTAATTGCCCATTCATTTAAGGCGAAGCACTTTAGGGTTGCACGAAAACCGTGTTTGTCGATCGGTGCATTCCCTAATCGGAGCGCAGGTGGGAAACATCTATGCGTACATGTGGTTCACATAGCACGCATGCAGCTACAAAAGAAAGTAAAATGCCATGGCGCCGTACAAACACAGACATTTACTCACCCATCAGTCAAATCATATATGAGAGCAAAAGGTTAACAAATACCGCGAAATTCAGCAGATCCAAGGTACCTTGAGAATCGATGTTCTGCGAAGGATGCATATGGAAGGTGACTGTGTTCTAGTTTTTTTTTTTTTTTGAGCGAAGTGTCACTATGTATGTACAAGTTGAAGTGAAAGTGCACGCACTGATATTTGTTTAATATAACCAATTGTTTACAGTTGCTGGTAACGATGCCAACAGCAAGATGGATATTAGCAACACCATAATGGCTAAGCTGCTATGAATCACCGGTGCTCGCCGGGACGGTAGTCCTGGACACTGCTACGTAGATCAATTTAAGCGGATGGTACCTAACTACAATTGACGTCAACCCAACGTGATGGCTGTATATCATGGGTGGACATACGCAATGTTTACAAAATTAGATAGCCAGCACTTCAACCACGATTGACGTACGTTTCACGAACATTTGAAAAGCAGTTCCGGGTCCTCGCATGGCTCTGTAGTAGGATACTTGATTACTCTGGAGGAAGCTGGGGTTCATTCATGAAAAGCTCATTCATCAAAGCTCATTCATCTGCGAGAAAATTGTATCTGAAACAGCTGGATCCGGTACACAATGAAGGTCTGCGCCTCGCAACCAGTGCATTTAGGACGCCACCTATAAAAAGTCTGTATGTAGAAGCAAATGAACCACCACTGGCAGGCAGAATAATCATGCTCTCATGCTCATACGTTCTAAAAATTCGATCAATGCCCAACCACCTTTGTAACCCTATAGTAACTCAATACCCATTCAGAACACTATTTATTGACGAACCCCAAGCAATTAGGCCCCTCCTTCTCAGATTTGAAGAGAAGTACCAAGATTTAAATATAAAGGACACGTTGCTGATGATTGGTCAGAGACCCAATGCACTCCCGCCTTGGTATACTGCCTCCCCTCTGTGTACGACTTCACGTTGACTCAATTTCAAAAAAAAGCAAATACCACGCGAGCATATACTACAGGAATTTCTAGCACTTCAGGCGAACTATGCGAGGCACATAGCATTTTACACCGATGGTTCCAAATCGACACGACATGTGCGGTAATACACAATCATTGGGAACGTACAGTTCGGCTACCGCAATGCGCATCCGTACTTACTGCAGAATACTACGCTGTCTCAATAGCGGTAAAAAAAACAATTATGAAAGCATCGAGAACAGTCTAATACACGCAGACACATTAAGTGTATTAAGAGCCCCTCATCCGAGAAATGCGTGTGTACCAATGATAGGCAACATCCTACACAACATAATAAGAGTTATAGAACAGGGGCAAAACATAAATCTTTTCTGGGTACCGAGACACGTCGGAATCCGTGGAAACGAGAAGGCAGATGAATGTGCAGCAAAGGCACGACGCGTAAAGAAATAAACGACGTCAGCATTCCCTACAAAGACGTCATAAAATCAGTACACCACAAACTCAGAAATGCCTGGCAAGCTAGATGGCACTCAAAATCAGAAAACAAGCTCCACCCAGTGAAACCCACTTCAGACGAATGGAAGTGCTGCTCCCACCAAGAACGATTCATAGAAGTAGCTTTATGTCGTTAACGCATTGGACACACACACCTCACACACAATTACTTACTAACAAAAAAGGACAAACCTATATGACCGAAATGCGGAGGCGAGCTATCAGTAAATCGTATTTTAATGTCGTTCACTAAACCAGAAGAATTACGAAAAAAACATTTTATCGTATTTTACAATGAACATATACCTCTTCATCCTGCATTGCTTTCAAATGAAGCCGCGCGTGTTGATAAGTCAGAAGTTTTTAGCTAGCAGTTTTTTTTTGACAAACACTAAACTTATATACTGCATCATTTATATACACAGGAAGACCTCGTAGGGCTTCCCACTTTTCAGAATACGATCAAGGTTTTTTAGACCTGGTTGGTATTCTCGAGGCTCTTGCTAGGCAAGCACTCAGCGAGGCATCCCAACATTTTAAGAGAATCATACCATGCGTTTGGTGCAGTGTAACCTAAGATGCATATGCACTATAAAAACCAAACTAAACCAAACCATACACTCAAAAAAAATCACGGCGTTCACCAGTGACGAGCTGGCGGCGAGCTTTGGGCCGTAGGGTCCAAGGACTCCCTGTCATCTAAGACAACGCCATCATCATCAACGGAGGGTGGGATGGGACAGGTTCTAATCCTTTCTTTCCCCACTCCCGCCTCGACTTTTAACATTTATTGAAGTTTTTTCGTTCATTCATTCAGTCATTCGCTCACCTTTATTTTATGGGGAGCTCCCTCGTTTCTCTTTAGGAATATAGGCGCAAAGACGCTTACGGCCTTTCTCGTGCTCAACGTATGTGATTCGGTCTACGACTCCATCAATCCATGATCGACCACGTCGAAAGCCGGTCATGACATTTGGTATAGATCTCATTATACTCCTGATACCACTGCGGCTATGGATCATTTTATTTAGAATGAAATGATTCATAGCATGGCTCTCGTGCAGTCTACTCTCGCAGTACACGGTAATCGTTTGGGCCAAGTGGAGCAATATCTTGATCACATCGTCGCCCCTGCCGTTGCCGTGGATAAGCCGTTGTCGCAACGTACAGCCGTGCCCAGTCCACCGCATCACGCGGCCCTTATGCACCCGCCGGGTGCTCAGGCCAACTCCTAAATGCTTCAAGATGGCCAGGCCAATGACGAGTTGCTAATCTGGCAATGGGACTGCAGGAGCTTCACCCAAGAAAGCTTTCCTGCAGCAATACCTCCGTAGCCACGAAGCCAAACCTCACATCATGCTATTACAAGAGACTGTAGTACCAACCGCCACGTTTTCCGGATACCAGTGGTTGCCCGGCCCCTCGGGAAGACGCGGTATCGCCACCCTGGTCGCTAACAAGATTACCTGCGCAGCGCACAGTCTTAATGTGCCCGAAATTGAGCACGTTGTGGTCGAAATTCTCCCTGGCAACATATCACAGCAAAGCGTATACATGCTCAATGTATACAGTAGTCCCAGCCACCATAAACAAAGATTCACACGCTTGTTCTAGAAAGCTGTCCGTCTCGCGGGGCCTAACCCGCTAGTGATTGCAGGCGATTTTAACGCTGTGCATAGCGCCTGGGGCTACACGTACGACACACCCAAAGGTAACGAGCTTTGGAAAAGTGCGAATGACATGGGCCTTATTCTCATTACGGACAAGGCCTTCCCCACTCGCACTGGCACGTCCATGCAAAGAGATACTACGCCGGATCTATGCTTTGTCAAGAATATCTCCGACGCCCGCTGGTCCAACCTCGCGGTAGATCTCGGTAGTGACCACTTCATATTGGCTGTACACCTCCCCACAGTAAGCAGGAAGACCAAGTCGTACACGTGGGTCGACTGGGACCTCCTTCGTAAGACCCGCGCAGAACGACCTCCTCCCGATACCCCACCGAGCCTCGAGACGTGGACGGCCCAGCTCAAAGCTGATGTAAACAAGGCAACGAAAACTATCAGCACAGACATTCCAACCGAAAGGATGGACAGTCGTCTCGCCCACCTACTAGAGGCCAAACAGTCTCTATTGGCCCGGTGGAAGGGCCAGCGCCTTAATCGGAGGTTACGCAAACGCATATCTCAGCTGAACAAGACCATGATGGATCACTGCCGCATCCTTTCAAAACAGCAGTGGGACGAAATTTGTAATTCGATTGATGGTCAGGTTCGAAATGGCAAAACGTGGAACTTACTCAAACACCTCCTCAATGAAACCAACACCCGCACAAATCAGCGTCATTCGATCGTGAAGATACTTCATCAGGCTAAACGAACAGTGTCACCGGAAGATGTTGTCAAGAACCTCG